CTATTTCAAACAAAAGGTTAGGAAGGAAACAATACTGGAAAAAGTGATGACAGTTAATAGACTAGAGTAAACTATTTTCTGAAAAACAGGTTCAAATAGAAAGATCTTATAAATTTCAACCCAAGGTAGCACTGGTTGCTCGATAAGGAATGCCAAATGTTTACTTACAAAGAAACGGTTAATACTGCTTGTTTGCAGGAGAGACCTTGTAAATCATAGATACAATAATAATAACGCCTTCAAACAATACTCGATCAGATGCCGCTAATTCCCATATATATATATTTTTCCTTTATCTGTTACATGATGTAATTATTTCAAGATGAAGTCGACTGTGCTTGCTCTCTGGTGATCTGTGTTCAAACCCAAGTGCTGGCAGTGTTATATTATTCCTATATGGCAATTACCTAATAAACATTACCATTTCTGCTTTCAATTTTACCAGCAAACATTAAAAAAAAAAAAATGCCTAGTGGATTAAAATATTGGTTTATGAATTTGGTGACAGAGTAATCGTGAGTTTAATCCCTGGATTGGGGAGTACATATCATATATACTCATGTATAAGCCTGCTTCATGTATGGTGGGACACCTGAATATTTTTTATGAAAAAACTGATTGTTTTCCACTATCTTGTGTATAATGCAACCCCAGTTTCTGAGCAATAATAGTAAGCCTACTACAATACTGGGCATCATTCTAGACATATTTTACTGTAAATAAAGGGTCTTTAGTTTTTTTTTTTTTGTATAAAGCTACTCCAAAATGGTGATAAAAACGGCTTATCATAAAATATTTGATACAAAGATTTAGATACAATACTTTTGTTTTCATTCATGCCTGAATACTGTAGCTTCTTTATTTTGGACCTGCCTCCTACGTAGCCTAAGTTTCTTCTCGTTTGTCGCTAGATGAAGAGCAAAACATCATCCGCTATGTATGCTACTTAAAATCAACAAATACCTTATATAAATAAATACTTAACTGGACACTGAAAATGCCTGATTTTTAACCTCTTCAAAAAAATTACCTGTGTATAGTGCGACAACCTATTTTTTTGCATGAAAAACGATCATAAAAACTAGCACTATACTCGATATACGGCACTCAGATTCAGGGGAAACCAGGCTCACCATAACTGAGAAGAACAAGACAAAATATCCTTAAACATGGACAGTGGAATGAGAATGATTAACCCCCCATAGATTAAATAAATGCTTCAGTTCAAAGTTTACTGAAAATCAACTGGATTATCAGACACCTGAAGAAGGCCGGAAGGCACAACGGATGAGGCACTGAGATAATAACAACAAAGATGTTGACATTAATCCGATTGCAACTAATTGTTCACCCTAGAAATTCAGGCAGAAAATTTTTGGAAAGTTTTCTGTCGTCGTCATTTCTCAGCTTCAAAGTCAATCTGTTTTTTTTGTGGATGTGCAACATTGGACGTTTGTCACACAAGCGAACAGGTGTAAGCACAAAGGTGTTGGCTGATCTCCTCCTTACAATGTCCACACCTTCTTTTGCCGTCTTGCCATCATCTGGAGGGCATGGAAACAAGGCTTACCACTATAGCAAGTCTGATAATTATCGTTAAGCTGATTTAATTAATGGATGCTGTCTTCTTTTGTGAAACAAACAAACAAACAAACACATTGCATGTATGCAAAACATCAAAGGAAAAAAAAAGTTGTTTTTTTTTTCTGGTGGTGGAGAGGGTGGAGTGTTTCAATGGTTGTTTTCCTTTGAGGCTGGCTGGCAAACTGTTTTAAGTGGAGAAGTAATTAGTTCCCTGAATGTAAAAAAGAAGAGAGAAAGAAAGTAAGAGAGCTAGAAGGAAAGACAGGAAAGGAAGGAAGAGAGAATAGTGAAAGTGAAGTGGTAAGCAAAGAAAAAGGAAAAAAAAAAGAGAAGGAAAGAGACAAAAGAGAATAAGGAAATTTAGAGGAAAGTAAGTAAAAGGGAGAAAGAGAAAAATCCAAGATCAAAAGAGGAGAAATAAAAAAAAGGATGCAAAGAAAAAGAAAGAGGAAAAATCAAGAGAAAGTAAAACAAAGAAAAGGAAATGTAAAAGAAAAAAAAGGATGTAAAATAAGAAAGACAATGAATCAGAGAGAGATGGATGTGAAAATAGATAGATAGATAGATAGATAGATAGATAGGGATTTGAATGGGGATAGATAGATAGATAGATAGATAGATAGATAGATAGATAGATAGATAGATAGGGATTTGAATGGGGATAGATAGATAGATAGATAGATAGATAGGGATTTGAATGGGGATAGATAGATAGATAGATAGGGATTTGAATGGGGATAGATAGATAGATAGATAGGGATTTGAATGGGGATAGATAGATAGATAGATAGATAGATAGATAGATAGATAGATAGATAGATAGGGATTTGAATGGGGATAGATAGATAGATAGGGATTTGAATGGGGATAGATAGATAGATAGGGATTTGAATGGGGATAGATAGATAGATAGGGATTTGAATGGGGATAGATAGATAGATGAATAGGGATTTGAAAGGATAGATAGATGATTGAATGGGGATAGATAGATGGGGATTTGAATGGGGATAGATAGATAGATAGATAGATAGATAGATAGATAGATTTGAATGGGAGATAGATAGGGATTTGAATGGGGATAGATAGATAGATAGATAGATAGATAGATAGATAGATAGATAGATAGGGATTTGAATGGGGATAGATAGATAGATAGATAGATAGGGATTTGAATGGGCATAGGTAGATAGATAGATAGATAGAAAATTAAAAGAAAAGAGAATATAAAAAAAAAGGAGAAAGAGAAAAATCCAAAACAACAAAAAAAAGATGAATAAAGACCATGAATGATAGAGAGAAAGATGTGGAGAATGAAGGAAGAAGAATTAAGGGAAAAAAAAGAAAAGAGAATATAAAAAGAGGATAAAGAGAAAAATCCAAGAAAAGAAAAAAAAAAAAAGAAGTAAAATAAGAGTGACTATGAATGAAAGAGTGAAGGATGTGAAGAAAGAAAGAAGATAAAAAAAAAGGTGAAAGAGAAATACTTGAGATATAAAGAGAGGAAGTAATAAAAAAATTTCCATAAACGGTAGAGAATGCTGCAGAGAAAGAGAAAAGGAAAGAAAAAGTAAGGAAAATTAATAAAGAAAGAAAGAAAAAAAAAAGATCAATATATTAAAGGAAAGGGTGCCTATAAAGGTGAAAATGAATGTTAAGTGAATAAGGAAAAAAAAATAAAAAACTTCAAACAGAAAAAGTGAAATAAACAAGTAATAATGAAATAAAAGCCAGCTTGAAATATGAAAGAGAAAAAAAAAAAACACAAAGCAAGCTCAAACAGAAACTTCAAAGGGATTGAAAAGTCAACAACTGCTAATATTAGTTAAGTAATAAGCAACAACATCATTGTACACCAAAGACTGGGATTAAATCCCCTCTTGACAAAAAGAGAAAAAAAGTTTTTAATAAAGTGAGATATATAATCGACATCAAAACAATATGTGAATTGCTATGAACAGGTTCCACAACAACAGTTCCAACTTTCCTTTTGACATTTGAAATAACAGAAAAAAAGATTTATTTAATAACTTATGTGATAGGATTTTACTAAAAGTCGAGGCTTGATCAATAAGAGCTAACATGTTTGGCTGAATCATAAATAAATTCTGTTTGTGCTTATCAAATTTTTTCTTAAAAAAATAAAGTACAGTTACATTTTATTCCATTATATATATATATATACACACACCATTATTTGCAATGACTCGTGGCCACTTATTAGGTAGCTCTTTTGAATAAAATTCTGCAGATTTTGATGTGAAAAAGGTTTTGACAATAAAAAAATACATGTCTAGCTATCCACATTGACTATAGCAGTAATAATTTTACCATATCTCTATGCAAAGCATTATGCAGCAATTAAAATGGCAATAATCAGTTAGGCAATAACTTTCATGTATGATTAGTAATTCAGCTGATTGTTTTGCTTTGTTTTGTTTTATGGCATATCAACCATAATGGGTTATTTAATGCCGACAACGTTTTCAGTGTTGGTAATATTTTTTTCCAAAAATCTGTTTCTAGTAATATTTTTTCCTTCAAAAATTTATTTCTGGTAATAATTTTTTTTTACAAAGTATTTCTGGTATTACAACCTATTTTTTACCCTTTCATAGTATTTTGACCCCAGTTTGGGGGTTAACTATTTGCCCATAGCTGGGACCCTAACAGGTGCTACCACCCTGAGTCAGGGTGAATCTGGGAACACCAGCAATTAAGTAGTAGTTCTATGCTCCTCAAAATCTCCTGATCAGTGACCTTGCTGTTGGACATAATTTATCGTCTTACCCCGGATGTAGTTTATCATCATACCCAGGACGGGTTTTTGCAATGTCACTACCACAGTCCGCTAATACCGTATGAACATATTACCATAATCAGTCTCTTTGCCTCACACATTATCATCTTTGTTGAGACTGTATATATTGTACTTCATTTGCTAAAACAATTATGACTGATTAGTGAGTTTGATTTTCACTGGGTGCTCCCTACTTTTGGCTTTGTGCCACATTTAAGCTATGCTTGGAAAATCAATATACCATACTTTGTTGGTTAACTATCCATGTTTTTATAACATCCTTTAGTTATGGGAATTCTGATTGCTTGTAACGTAGTTCATATTTTTACTTTATTATTTTCTTTAATCTCCTCGCCCGCTTCCTCCATATCTGAATCATTTTTTTTGCTGGGTGGTGATCCATACTGCCTCTCAGCTGCTCTGTTATGTTGTTTAGAAAACTCTATTGCTTGTAATGTGAAATGAGAAGTTTATGTCTGTCGTCTCGGCTTTGATGCCATTCTGTTCATTTGTTGAAAGGTATCATCTGCTGAATGTCTCTACCCACAAGATTAATGATGCCATCTGCTTCGATGATGGTGGTTGGCTTGTCTGCCTGCAGATGGCAACCGTGAGACATCATCACCATAGACAAAAATAGTAGATAGTAGGAACTGGGAACTGACAAGACATTTGAAATTAATACCCATTGAGCTGATTGGTTTGTTTCAATAGTACTCAAAATGCAGTAATAAGACTGGTATTCTTGGTGTACATATGAAATGTAACTGTCAGCCTGTATTACATAGCTGGGGTTCGGGCTGTGAAGACACAGTACGGTTTGCTTAGATGAACAAAACTTACAATATCAGTAGGAAGCTGCTTACTGGTTATCATCATACTTATTATAAAACCCAAGTTGTGTGTGTGTGTGTGTGTGTGTGTGTCTGTACGTTTATATATTGGATCGGATTTCGTTCATTTTTCAACCGATTTCAACAAAACTTCACAGGACTACGTAAAATTACCTTGTGGTGGTTCTGACAGCACCAAAAATTGGAAAATCACAATTGTTTTTGCATGAAATCAATTTGAAAACACGATTAAGAGGCATCGCGAGAATGAAAGGGGGACAACTCATATCGAGTTATACTTATTATAAAACCCAGGTTTGTGTGTGTGTGTGTGTGTGTTCGTTTATATATGGGATCGGATTTCCTAGATTTTTTAACCGATTTCAACAAAACTTCATTTTTTTTTGGCAGGTAGTGTTTCTTATTGTCTTGCACACTTTTTTCTTTATTTTTACATTCAGAATGCTTTAAAATTTCCATTTACAAGACAATTGTTTATAATAAAATTCTATTCAACTGGTAGACTCATAACGGTTGAAAACAATGTTTTTGTTTGAGTTTGGGTTTGACCAATTCGTAAAAAAACACAAAAAAACAAAAAAAAAAACTAATTAAGACATGCGTGTCCGTCAATTTTATTTTTCAGTCTTTATGATGGTCAATACTTGATCTATCTCTTACTGTTACATCCCCGGGCAACGCCGGGCTCTACTGCTAGTCATTACTAAAAAAAAAAAAAAAAAAAAACAATATATATCGTATGATACTCATGGGATATATGGTATTTATTATATATGAACCATAATTGTAGGCATATATGTCTTGGGTTCGTGATTGTATGCATTTTGTGACACGGGTTCATGAGTGTTGGCAAACTCCTCTTTGCCACTTGACCTTTCAGTGCTAAGATGGCATGTGGTTTTTGAGGACATTTTTCAGGAAAAAATATGCATCTTAACATACAGGAAATACAGCACGCAATAACATATTAATAAATAATAATATAAGATGTAAATTAGTAAATAATTCTTTGTATAATACTAATTGTAAAAAGAGACTTCAAATAATGAAAGCTCTTTTTAGTAAAACACCAATTGTTACTTTGACTTTACAAATTTTAAGCACAGTATTAGATTGGCAGTTAAGTTTCATCCTTTTACTGTTGAAATTGCTAGATGTAATTATAATTTCTATCCTAAAACTTTCTTTTCTCGCACTTCTAGCTTGCGGAACTCTCTTCTGGCCTCTTGCTTTCCTGTCAACTTTGACCTTCAAAAAATTTAAAAACAATGTCAACTGTCATCTGTCTCCTAGAATTCTGTTCTTTTATTGTCCTTTCCTTAATAATGATTTTTCTCAGATTCTTACACAATAAGTAACTAAGTGGCTTTATTATCTAAAATGATTTAAAAAAAATCCTAAATTAAATTATCTTTTAGCCTAAGAAATAAGATTTTACATGTATTTAATAATCAACAGATATATTGGCTCAGTTTATACCATTGTCAATATCTATGTAAATCATTGTTGTGGTCGAGACATAGGAAATGGAAATCCTGATGTTTTAAAAACATTCATAAATGATATTATCCTTTACGACTACGCACTAACTTTTGGGGTTGTATCCCCGGAATTCATATTACTTTTGAGTGTGGTAAGTTTTTGAATAGTGGATATATTACTAGCGCTGTAACTTTAAAGGTTTAGAGATAATGTTATAAAATTTTTAAGGTATTTGCATGAAAGGATGTAGAAAATATAGACATATATTTTTATTGTACATATAATAACATTTAAGAAAAAAATATCATGTAAACAAAAAAAAATATGACAGAATTGATAAAAAAAATGATTCCTACTCGTCATATTGTATTGTATATATAAAAGGAGGTCTTTTGTCCAGTAAGACAAATACGAAGTTTTTTTTTTCAAACCTATCAACAAAAGCAAGGCCAAAAATGCTTTCATTTCTTCAAAGCAAACGTTTTCCCAAGCTCTGATTTGTGAGTTGGGCTTTGCTGTGTCACCTAGTTTTGTTTTCACATCCTTTGTATACTGTTTAGTTTCCGCTACCATTAATTGAATAACTATGTCAGATAAAAAAAGACGAAAAGCTTTACCTTAATAGTTTCTTGACTAACATTTGTATGTCCGAGCTGAAGCCCCTGCTGTTCATCTTAAGGTCCCCGAGAAAAATCCAGAGACGGATATGCAGTGCAACTGGCCCTGATCTGGCGTCTCGTCTGCAGTCGCACTCTCACAGATGTGATGTTGCCTCTCTGTCTTTTCCACAAATACTTTCACGGTAACTGCTCTGATGAGATACTTTTGTTGGTTCCCAAACTGCATAAATTTAACTACTAGGTCAGCATCTCAGTCTCACCCTTTCACTGTCAAAACAGTTAAATGTAGCCGTCTCTTTTTACTCCAATAGCTTCATGTCTTGCACTTCCCGTCTGTAGAACTCCCTTCCTCTTACTTGCTTCTCTGATAGCTATAATCTCCAGCTATTCAAATGCAATGTCAACTGACATCTTCAGATGCCTTGTTCTCATTCCCTGTCCTTCTCTTCATCCTTTCCTCTATCACGACTCTTTACTCTTCCTCCCACTCTCTGTAACCCCTTGTGTGCTAGTGGCACTCCCGCCTTGCTTGGGGTGAAAAGCTTAAAGAATAAAAAAGTATAGGAAAACTCTGGTAGCCACAGGTTTGAAAATTCAACCTTCTTGGTCAGAATCACTTTCAGTCAGTCTCTGTCATGCATATCACCAACTAGCAGTAGAGCCCGGCGTTACCCGGGGATGTAACAGTAAGAGATAGATCAAGTATCGACTATCATAAAGACTGAGAAATAAAATTGACAAAGATTATTGTTTAAGGTTGACAGACACGCATGTCTTAATTAGTTTTTTTCTTTGTTTAGTTTTTTTTCTTTTCTTTACGAATTGGTCAAACCCAAACTCAAACAAAATTATTGTTTTCAATCGTTATGAGTCTACCGATTGAATAGAATTTTATTATAAACAATTGTCTTGTAAATGGAATTTTTAAAGCATTCTGAATGTAAAAATAAAGAAAAAAAGTGTGCAAGACAATAAGAAACACTACCTGCCAAAAAAAAAAAGTGAAGTTTTGTTGAAATCGGTTGAAAAATGTAGAAAATCCGATCGCATATATAAACGAACACACACCTCCACACAAACAACCTGGGTTTTATAATAAGTATAACTCGATATGAGTTGTGGCCCTTTCATTCTTGTGATGCCTCTTAATTGTGTTTTTAAATTGATTTTGTGCTAATTTTTGGCGCTGTTAGAACCACCGCAAGGTAATTTTATGTAGTCCTGTGAAGTTTTGTTGAAATCGGTTGAAAAATGAACGAAATCCGATCCAATATATAAACGTACAGACACACACACACACACAACCTGGGTTTTATAATAAGTATGATATCTGCATGCATAAATCCAAGAAATTCTTCGACACACTCACTGTCCATGAAAAGTTCCTCTATTGATGTAACAGATCTATGACTTGCCCTGGGGTTGCCATTGTGATAAAAAAAAAAAGAAGTTTTTAAAACACTTTATTAAAATTCGTTGAGAAAACAACTATTTCAATTAAGTCAAAATGACTGACATCTGGGCATTCTCAGTTCATATCACAAGCTTAATGATGTAATTTCCATAGTAATAGGCTATTTTTAGAAACATACTTTCCCTTTCAAACAAAGCTCTGTCACTTGCCGAATATGTCCACCCAGGAATATTTAGAAAGAGTATCTGCAGTGACATGCATGCCTGTAGAATTATAAAAGTTAATTAGAGTGCAAGCACATGATTTTAAAATTCAAATTTCAAAAACACTTTGATAGAAAACAATAATATCAAAAATCTTTCCTGAACTCTTCAAAACTTGTATTCTTGTAAAAACCTCACACACACACACACACACACACACACACACACACAAACCCCTAGAACAAAAAGATTCTCAAATTGCCATATTAGTAAAAAATGCACTCTCTTAAATTTTCAAAAAATTCAACCTTAGCGTTGTGACTGCATGCCCCAAAGGTTTGTATCCATTAACAATAACACATTTAAAAAAAAAACATATTTCAATTCGCATTTAATTTTTTCGTTTCGGATGCTACCTGAATTTTACCAAAAACAAAATATTTTCCATGCCTGAAGATGACTGAATGTACAGTTGAAAGTACTTACGTATTAAAGAAAGACCTTATACAGCTTATAATTTTTAAAAACGAGGATCATAACATTCATAGAGTGATTTGTAGGTTAATGCACCTTTAAAATTTTGTTTGCGAAGGGATTTCCCCATTTTATATCAATTTTATATCATTAACTTTACTAATCTACTTTTAGTATGAATGATTCATTGTAAAATATATATATATATATATATATATATATATACACACATACTTATGAGTAAAGAGAGGGTATTTGAACATCCTCCAGCTTGGATGTTATTGGGCAGAGGGCCTATTTTAATATGGGGCTCTATGCATATAAATTATGAGGGAAAAAAAAAAAATTTCCCCCAAGTCAGATACATTCTTGGGCATGAATGACAAGATTTGAAAGTTAGATCAGTATTATTTAGGTATATAATTCAAACTAAATTACAAATAACTATTTCCTTGCATTCAGGATACCCACCGTTGAACTGCAAGGATCAAGGACACACAGACAAACCCTAATTTTAACTTGAATAAAAAAAAAAAAAGAAAAAAGAAGGATAAATACTTTAGACTTAATTT